GCTCAGTGGGTTGGGCATCATTCAATCAAAAGGTTGCCAGTTGGATTTCCGGTCAGGGCACACACCCCCGTTGCAGGCTCCATCCCCAGTAGGGGGGGGCGTGCAGGAGACAGCTGACTCATGCTTCTCTCTCTCTCTCTCTCTCTCTCTCTCTCTCTCTCTCTCTCTCTCTCTCTCTCTATCTCTCTCCCTCTTCCTTCCTCTCTGAAATCAATAAAAATACAAAAAAAATATGAACCAGGAGGTCAAGGCACATGCTTGGGTTAAAGGCTGGATCCCCAATAGGGGGCGTGCAGGACGCAGCCAATCAAATGATTCTCATCATTGATGTTTCTCTCTCCCTCTTCCTTCCTCTCTGAAATCAATAAAAATATATTTAAAAGACAAACAAAAAATAATAAAATAAAAGACATGACAACTCAATGTGTTTGAATTCTGAGTCAAACAAACCAATGTAAAAGAAAAAAACCTTAAAAATTTTTTTAAAATCTGTAAGAAAAATAGAAGAATCCAGGGGCTGGAGGGAGAGAAAAGCGGGTCCCTGCCGCCCAGCTCCCCCAGGGTTTGGTGGCCTAGCAGCTGGGACTCGGGAGGTACAGCAGGTTCCCAGGACCCTGCGTTCCTGTCCTGAGGCTGTCGCTCCCGGGGGGAATCGGGCCTAAGCCGGCAGGCAGACATTCCCCGAGGGGTCTCAGTCTTCGAGAGGGCGCAGGCCGGGCTGAGGGACCCCCACCCCCAACCCCAGTGCACAAATGTCGTGCACTGGGCCTCTAGTTTAATATAATTATGATAAAAATGCACAGAAGTTAATATAAGATAGTGTATATAATTCTAATAACTTATATGTTAAATTATAATCGAATACAACGGCCCTGTGAACTAGGTCCCATTACTGTTATTGTCCCCATTTTCCAGACGAGAACATTGAGGCACAAAGAAAAGAAATCTCCCTGTGAGGCCGCCCCCTGAGGGCAAGTCATTTAAGTCACTCCCACGCTGACTACCTTGGATGCCTTCATCCAGGTGGGGGGGATCCTGAGGTTTGGGGGTGAAGGGACATCTGTAAGGTTTTGCATCATCTTGTCCACGTCCCGAGCTCTGGGGACACCCAGCACTGAGCTGAGCCCTTACTCACCCCACCCCCCACCCTCCAAAGCGTGTCCCTGTCCCCTGACCTCAGCCCTTCCTTGCCGATCCCCTCCCCAGCCTGAGCTTCCTGCCCTGGGCAATGGGAGTGCCGCTGGGACAATGGCGGTTTGAATGAGGCTGTGACTGGGAGAGCCCAGCCTGGCATCGTGGGGAGAGAGCCCAGCCTGGCATCGTGGGCTCCATAACTGCCAGCTGCTGAGGGCACTGTTCGCACAAATTCGTCTCCCAAAATGCTCTTGGCCGCCCTCATCTCCAGCACCCCGCTGCGTCACACCTGCCCCCCACCCCGGGACAGCCCTCTGGGACCCCATTACCCTCCAGCAGCTCCCCCTCTCCTTCAAGGTTCTCCAACGTGTGGCCTCCATGCCCTGACTCAGTTTCCCCAGCTGCCACTCCCTCCTCACTCTGGACCAGCCTGACTTCTGCCCCCACACCCTCCACCCAACAGCTCTCCTCAAATCCTAAATCCCGGGGGTCCCTTCTCCTTCCTCCTCCTCCTCCTCCTCCTGCCGCAGCCTTTGACCCTGCGGACCACGCCCTCACTCTGGAAACTTCTCCGGGTTTCATGCGCCCAGGTCACCACCTACCTCTCTGGCGGGTCCCTCTCCGTGGGCAGCTCTCCCGTCTTCCATGTGCCCCTTAGAGGTGGGAGCCCCTCAAGGCACTGCCCGCACCCCTTCTCACTCTGCACCCTCTCCCTGGGCAGCCCTCGCCCTCCCGAGGCTGGGTGACACCTCATGGTCAGCAAATGGCAGATCTCCCTCCAGGCAGCCCCTCCCTGGCGTCTCTGGACGCCCCACAGGCACCTGGCCCTCAGCATGCACCCCCTCAACCCAGCGCCTTCTCCACGCCTGTTCTTCCCCCGTCGCCCCTGAGCCCTTACGCACCGCCCCCCTCTACCCTCCAAAGCGTGTCCCTGTCCCCTGACCGCAGCCCAGAAAAGACCTCACTCTGTAAACTCCCATCGCCCCTCCTCTGTGCCCAGAGGCTGAGGCCATTCCCGCTCTGACCTCCGGCTTCTGCTGGAGTTGAGCCAATGGGGCCGGGGGGAGAGGAGGCTCCAGCAGGAGACTGGTGGGTGGGAGGGGTCAGTTGGGGTGCTCACTCTGTCCCCCTTCTCTCCTGGGCGGGGGTCGGCGGGGTCTGCGCTCCTCCGGAGCCACAGCCACAGCCTCGGCGGTTCAGGGTGGCCACTGCTCCCTCTACTGGCCGCCCCGGGTACTGCGCCGTCCCTTCCATGAACCCTCCCTGGCTGGTCCGAGCGCACCGTCTCTTTCCCGCCAGGGCCCCGATCCATTCTCCCTCTCAACCACCCCCTTCTCCCCACCTTCCTCCCACCACCCGACTCCGGGACCCCCTCCCCTGCTGCCCCAGGCCCCTCCCGGGCCCCCCAGCCTCCGTTCTCACAGGTAGCCAGAAGGAACGTTTGGAAATCGGATATCCAGGGCCCGCCCCACTCCACCCCCATGAAGTCCCTTCCAAAGCTCCCCTTCGCTCTGAGGATGAACTCCAGGCTCCTCAGCGCGGCCGAGAGGATCCTGATCATCGGTCCTTTCTCTGCACGCCCCACGCCCGCACACTCCGTTCATGCTAACCGCTGGCTCGGAAAGGCTGGGGATCCACAAGTCTCCCCCCTATCCCAGCATTCTGAGAAAGCTACTTGCTTTATTTGGGGGAAACCCCCATCAGCCCCAGCTCCTGCTCAGGCAAATCTGAGTTCCCAGGATGCCCCCTGTAGAGGAATACTTTGTTGCTGATGGGTTAGGGAAGCTCCGGGCCTGGAATGAGGGCTGGCTGGGGGGTGTGGGGTGAGCTGTGTGGACCTTCTGGGTGGCTGGTTGCATGTGGGTGTGTCCTGCAGAGGAGGGGGGTGGGCTGGAAAAACACCCAGATTTCCTGGTCTACTCCACAGCTGCGGAAATCCCGAAGTCCTCATTCGCTCCCTCCTCCTGCCTCCCAACTTCTCACCGGAAGGCCGTTTCCCAGGCAGAATTTCCAAGTTTTATGGCAACTTTTACAGAAATCACAGAGAAAAGAGACAGTGACTGGTGCTGGTGAGCTGGGAGAGGAGAAGGGACGTGGGCGACAGTCTGGGGTGCTGGGCCGGTGCACAACAGGACGACCGGACG